TGTTACGTGAGGAGCAGTCTCCCAGAGCACCTCTCCCTCTGAAACCCTTAGGAATTTATCACAAGGTCCTGGAGCTCTGTGGAACAACAGCTCTGGTGTCTCCAGTGTCACGGGTCCTGCCCAGCAGCAATGGGTACAAATCTGTGCCCTGTCTCGCTGCAGGCACAAACGAACATGTAATGGCATTCAAGTATGTGCCACCCATGTCACTCAGCCTCAGAGATCTCTGAGGTGGCAGTGGTGCTACTGGACTTGCTGGTGGTGCCCAACTGTGCTACTGACTGCTGGGCATGGCTATGTCCTGGGAGCTCTGTCAGGGACACGTGTTGTTTTACAGCAGGTGGCCCCTGTGGTCCTGTAGCCATCTGGTTCTGCAGTGGGCATGTGCCCTCGCTCTCCTTGGCAGCATATTTCTCCTCTTCCTCCTCGACCCATGGAGCCACAGCTCTTCTGAGTGTGCTGGAGCAGCAAGATCACTAGGCAATGGCAGGCAGAGCCCCTTACACCAGGCAGCACGGCTGCCAGGCTGTGGGCTGGGGGTGTGTGTCGGGGAAACCGAGCATCCTTGGGTGAGGAACAGGGGGTCCTGGCATTATCTGCCCCCACTCGCTGTATATAATGCCCAGCAGAGACAAGGAAGAAATGAAAGACGCTTTTTCCCATCTGCTTCTTTAAATGTAGGTGCTGAACAACTCAATCCCGAATCTCAAGGAGGTGTGCTGAAAATACAGGAGTCCACAGCGAGGTCACTCACGGGTCATAAAGCAGCAAAACACGGTCTCTGCCACCACAGGGCAGGGAAGGAGGTTAATGTTTCACGGTGTATCTAGCTGAGCAGAGGAGCTTGGTCAGTGTTTCACTTGGCAGAAATTATTTATTGACAAGGAGAGTTTCCAGACTGTCCCAGGGAAGATTCTTTGGGAAACTGTTGGGATTTCTTCCAAGTTAAGAGGAGCTATTTGGATCATGAGTTGAAAACTAACCTGGGGATGCACACTCCCATCGATCAGTTACATTTATGAAAGGAAAGATTAAAAAACTCTCAGGCAGAGCCAGGCACTTAAAAGCCAGAAGTCTTTGCATTGATTCCAGTAGTAAGATGTCAAGCCTTGTGATTTTCTGGACCAAGTTCAGAGAAATAAAAAATATGAATGGGCCAAATACTGAGATCCTCATTACAGAAAAGGGCCACTTGAGAGTACCTAAGATGTGGCCTCTGATCAGGGAGACACAATAGTTGAGGAAGCTCCCATTGCAGTCCTCAGCCATAGCCTTGTGCTCAGCATCCTCAGCAGCCTTTTTTTTTCCTCATCTGCCAGCTTTCTTTTTGTTTCTATTACAATTAAAAAAAAAAGGGGAGATGAAACTACCTGCTCTATTTTAATCCTATTTGTCTGCAGATAAACTGCATGTTAGATGATTCATAGATCTTTATCACTTCATAAAGTTTAGACTATAAAAAGCCTAGCCCTCTCTTTTGACTGATAAACAACTATGTAAGCCTTGATGCTGTTACTCGAAATCTAAGTTAGACACAGCACTTCTGAGAACAGTTGTTAGCTCCTCAAGAGGGGCATGTGGCTTTTGCCGAGCCAGAGAGGAATTTGTCCACTCGTGTGGCCTTCAGGGAGCACAACTGCCCAGTTTCATCTACAAGGACAAAACCATGGAGCCGATCTCATCAAGGAAAAGTTGAGCATGGGTGCAGGCTGTGTTTGACCATGCCAGGGGCTGGGCCCAGCAGTCTGCATCTGGTGGTCGTACTTTTAAACCCTAGTGCTACTAATTGAATCAGAATTTGCATGTGATGAGGGTTTGGCGTTTTGGTGCCAGCATGGCTGTTCCCACTGACCCCTCTGTTCCCAGGCAAGTGCAGCGGCCAGCCTTGCAGTGAACTCTCTTATGTCCATGAGTTGCTCTGTGACTGTGGTGAGGGACTGATGCTTGGTTATAAAAGGAATGAATGAATGGTGTGATGCCTCCTGAGTTAGGTTACTTCTCTTGGAATGAGACTCACCAATGGAGCTAACTGCCACTGACCAATCCTTGAATATTGTACTCAGTCCTTCTCTAACTGGTTCACGTCTTCTCCGAGGTGAATGGAGACTACCCCCAAATGCAGAGAAGAGGAATTTCAGGACAAAAGTACAGCCAAGGGCACTTGAGAAATTAGTGGTACCCTCCTTGGGCAAGATTTCATTGTTAATATTTTATTTTAGAAACAGAAGAATTGGGTGATTTGTTTGTTCGTTTGTTTGGTTTTTTTAACTAAGATCATAGGCTGGAATGCCGTGGCATTTGGGCAGACATTGGACAAAGCCTGAAACAGCCTTGACCTCAAAGGTACTGGACAACAGAGGCTGGAGCCTCTTCTGAACCAAGATCATGGATTTGGATTAAAGTAGCAAATTCTTCTGTCACTGGAAGAAAAGCAAATCTGAGCCTGGGCTTCTGGGCCTCCTCAAACTTTGTACATCGATCCAGTTGCCACCAAGCCCAGCTGGAAATTGATGGTTGCCCATAAAGACAGTATAAAAGCTGTTGCAACGTGGTATTTTATGGAAGCTATTAAATCTGTCAGCTGATGCAGTCTGTACCTGAAAATGTTTATCTTCTATCACACATTCACCTTCAATTAACAATTCAGTGGTTGCAAAGACTTTTTAACCTTTGTCCACTGTTTTTCATCTGATTTAAAATGACACATTAGCCTTCTCTCCTTGTTAATGTGTATTACTAGGCCTCATGCAGTTGCCTTTTAAAATGCAGACTAAAAGGAAGGAGGGAATAGTAGTGAGACTTCATTGCCTTGCTAACCTTTTCAGGCTACTGAAGATCAATGGGAAAACTGGAGACTGTTCTTCAGATTATTTTAGCAATTGTACATGAATGCTTTGAAATCTGGACAATTGCTTGCACAGGAGGATTTTGGTTCTGAAATAGTTCGTATGTATGTATGTAGTGTGGAGGAGGATGTACAAAGAGGAAGGGAGCGAGTTTGACAATCTTAAATTGTGTTTTGTACTACTAGTAGAGAGAGCAGCAAATATTTTGCATTCCAGTGGACCAGATCTTCAATGTAGAACAAGAAGTTTGTTACTTTAGGGACTCTTCTGCTTCTTCTAGCATTTCTCCTCAACTCTTCTGTGGCCAGTGACACAACTCAGCCTCCAAGCTGGTTGAAGACTGAGCCCTCCGATTGCTGAGATACTAGTGAGGGTGCCGCTTTGGAAGTGCAAACAGTCTTCAACCTCACAGTAGTCAGACTGGGGCTGGAGCTGTCACCAGAGGCTGACACAGAGGCTTGAGGAATTGGAGAACGGCCTCTGCCTCCCCATATGATTGGGAACATGTGAGTTCCAGCTGGGAGTGCTGACGGGGTAGGTGGCTAATTCCAGCCTCCTGTATCTGTTGTACCCATGAGGCAGCAGTGGTGGTGGAGCTGGAGGCAGGGCTCTGCCGGGAATTAAAACCAGTGTGGCAGGTCTGTTCTTCCAGCACTCCCAAAATCCAAGAAGGAGGAGCCCAACCTCTCCTGCGTTAGTGTACTTACTAATACAGAGAGGAGGTCATCCTCCTGCAGACCCCTGTCGTATACTCTTGTGAGCAGTCTAGATCAACATCCCCCATTTCATCAGTGTGTCCAGGGATCTGATTCTGCTTTATGCACAAATCTTTGTGTCAGGTTGTGAAGATCACTTTTAAAATGTCACTCTGCTGGGACACTGACAGCAAATATGGAGGTCTGATGAGTGGTGTTTTCTGCAATGTGTTAATAACAAATCCTGTTGTACAGGATTCAGCAAATAAAACTTCATATCAGTCAGCTAAAAATAATATCAATATTAACTCAGGCTGTTTGCAAACTTGATCTTAAAGGATTAGGCCTATTAAATGAAGGTGGGGGGTGAATGTGTCTGCCTGCAGAGGAGAAAATAGAAAAATATTCTGATGAAGAATTTACCTTGGTGTGCTAAGAACTGATGCTAGTGCGTGAGTTTGGCATCTCTTAATGGTTCTACTTTGTGTACCTTGTATTTTCATGCTGAGCGCTAAGCTGAATTCTTCTCTGCAGATTTGTGCTGTTACAAACTATTTGTTATTTAAAGAATTAAAAAGAAAAACCCAACGCTCAAAAACTAGCATGTGAGAGGTATGTTTGCATCGAATTGTTGGATAAAGTTGTGTAACCCTATATGCAACCAAGTGTGGTCAGGCTGCCTCTCCTGCCAGGGATGCCACCCACATCTGTCTGGGTTATGCCTGCATCAGCTGTTTGCTCCAGCCCTCCACCTTGCGCGGAGCCTGCTGTTGCTGGGTGTTGCTGCTCTGCCTCCTGAAGCTCCCCAGGCTCCCCAGGGCTGAGGCTCTGCTCCTTGCAACACCCCATCCCCAGGCAGCCCCTCCTGCCCCTCCCCAGGTGCTGCAGGTCCCCGGACCCTGCCCATGCCAGAGACCCCGATGGGCCAAGGTGGTGGAACAAGCCTGGAGGTAAGTAAGCCCTGATTAAAGAAGTGTTTTTTATCAACATGTCTGTAGATAAATAGCAAAGTACCGCAGCGATTCAGCAATTCCCTGCAAGGAACTGCCAGGTGAGGCTCCTGCAGGCAGCTCTTTGCGGGAAGTGTAGAAACTTGCTGGAAATATACTGAAATCCAAGAAACACCATGTACAGACCTAGAGCACTGGTTGCCAGATCAATTTATTCATTAGGTAATGGCTTCTTCTGAGAGTAGGAACAGAATTTAACTTTCAGGAGTAAAACCAGGATAATTTCTAGACTTCTTTGGGGACCAGTTTGCCCACTTTTATTCATGAGGTAATGAAAACAAGCCTTCCCACTCTACAGCTCCTAATGCTCTTTCTGTATTGGTGGCCTATTTTTCTGCTCAAGGACAGGGAGGGACTGTTGAGTCACACACAATCTTGTGCCCTCCTCCTCCTCTCATTTAAATATTAATATGATGAATTATTACTAGAGTAACAGCTGTGCACTACTCATATCACAGCAATATAACCTTCCCCTCCTCGTCCGAGCAACAGCTATTCCTGACTTGCATTTTCTGGTCGACCTTCTCGCTTCTTCTGGATGACTTTTTAAAAATTACTTTGTTCGTTCTGGTGTGGTAACATTAGGATAATTGTTTGTTCTGTTCTTTCTGCTTAAATATTAATGATACTGAGGAAGTCAAAAGATAGCTTCAGTAATGGTAAGTTAAATGTCTGTGTGTATTCTCCTATGAGATCTGTTTGTTTAGAGAGAAAGAAATATAAAGGATTAAGATCAGTCTTTCTAACTAACACTGAAAAACATCTCTCTTTGAGAATTATCAAAATAATATATTGTCTTTTGTATAAATAAAATCGTTGTATATTAGTCAGCTAGTGTCTCTAGATAATTCAGAGGAATACCTAACATTGTACCTAGAAGTACTAATGCATTGCATTCTCTGTAGATAAAATATTATAAGAGAGACTGCGAATAAAATCATGAGACAATTCTGTACAGACTGCTGAAAGGAAATATTTGGCATCAAACAAAGAAAAATGAAGGAAAGGTAAAACACCATAAGTTAGCTCAATTTGGTTGGAAATATCGAGGTAAAGCATTCCCAGGCAGATGTGGAAATGTTACTAGATGTTAAGTTTTGTGGGTAAAGGTCCTCCTCTGCTGAGCACCTTTTGCATGGTTCTTGTGTGTTTGTATGTGTGTGTGTGTGTGGTTTACAAAGCCCACACTGCTTTTCTCCTTGAAAATGTCACTCCTTGGAGTAGTTTCGTGCTGCAAAAGGGGTGGCTGGGTTTGTTCGTTTCTGGACCACTGTTGTGGAGAACTTAATGCCAGCAGGAGTGTGTAGAAATCAGGTTTACTGGATTTGCTCAACTGCTCTTATTTAGCATTGTATGAAACTTTTTAACTCACTGCTCTTGTTACGTAGAGGGGAAAAAAATCTGAAATGATTTTACAAAGATTTTTAAATGAAATGTCCATATTTTGATTTGAAATTTTTCATTTTAAAATTTTGTTTTAGTAAAGCAGTTTTCTTAAAGTCAAACCAAATGCTTTCCATTTGAATAAAATACTGGTTTATTGCTTTGTTGGGGTTTTTTTAACAGCTCATAAATGTAATGGGGAACCTAAAAAATTAAACCCGTTTTATAAACGATGCCCTTCTTTTCCCACTCCTGAAGAAATCAGTAGAAACTTTTCCCAGTCAACCCTACCAGTGACAAGAGAACGGGAGGTGGGAGGCTTCTACCGCCTGGGAACTCTTCCCATTGAAAATCAGTGTCGAACCCCTGACTGGCTGGGGGTTGGGGAGGAGTGAAAAGAGAGTACGGCAAAATGTGTTTCTAAGCCAATGACTGCTGTGATGTAATGCTAAAAGCAGTGCTGATACTTCTTGAGTAATTTTTCCACTTTGCTTTTTTCTGAACAAGTACTTGGTGGAAACAAGGAGCCCAAGCCTGACCGTTTGCAATTCCCAGTGCAGCCAACAAGAGTAAACTCATGGATTGAGTCATGCTCAGTACCACCTATATACACATGTATATGCTGAGGTTTTTTTCCCGCTGGTGTTCTGTTCCTCCTAAAGTTTGTGGGAGCTGGAATTTTTTTTTCTCTCAATTTACCATTCATATCAGGGATTTTTTAATCCTTGTGCAGGTTACTGTATTGCAAATTATTTGGCAAAAATACCGCTTTTATAAAAAGCCTTTATACCTTGATAAACTTGCAGCATATCCCTTAGATAAAATCTCATTGCAAACAGTCCCTTCAGATGATTATCTGCAGAGATTGCGAATGAACCTTGTAGCAATCTCATAACAACTGTCCTCATGGACGGAAGAGAAACCTGCTGTCAGAATTACAAATAATTTATGTAACCCAATTTAAAGCTCTAACAAAATGTTCCCTTGTTAAGAGGATTGCTATACTTAACATGTGAGATGAAAATACTTTCTGAAGGTCAGGAATGCACAGAAGATAGACTAGATCTCTCAAAAAGACAACAAATAGGTCTTTACCAGCAGTTTTTCCTCTGTCAGACATTCAGCTCAGCACTCATAGAAGCTTACATAAGCACAGCTTTATTCCTGCAAATGCTGTGTTTGCTCTGCAGAGGGAGAGGAGCCTCAAAGCTTCAGCTCTGCACATGGAAAAATATAACTGAAGGCAGACTGGGGACACAGGCTATTTTTTGCCGGCACCGGCAGCGTAAATAAAAGTTTGTTCTCAGGAACACAAGGGCTTGCTGATGTGCTGCAGCATTAGCCTGTGCGAGCAGGAACGGCGAGGCTGAACTGCCCCTTTTGGAGGTCGTCTGCTGGTGGCTGTAGCTTGGTAAAGGTCTTGGGAACCGACCTGCCTGCCGCTGAATGGCGGAGGGGTGGGACAGGCTCTGCTGAGGCTGGAGATGCGGGCTCCAAGTGCCTCTAACCCAGGCAAGGCAGCGGGGCACTGAGTCGTGCGCTCTTGGTGTTCAGTGACCTGGCTGCTTTATGCTCAGTCAGGAGTTAATGCTGTCTTCCTAAAACTGCCCAACAGAGCCACAAAACCTGAATTTGACATGTTGGAAAACAGCTTTGTGAGATCTAGCTTTTCATAATAGGGTCTGGGGGGTGAGGCAGGTCTTGAAATGCTTTTCACATAGGATACGGTGCAAATAAAAAGAGGTTACAGCCTCTGTAACCATCAGAAAGTCAGGCTAACGTTGCAGTTGTCCCCAGCCCCTGCACACAGTTACAGCTGGTTTCTGTCCATCCCTCCAGCCAGCCAAAAACTGAGATTATGGAGAAGCTGATGATGATGATTGTTTAAACACTTATCTCTTCACCTCCTCCACTGTTGCATTCCCCTAATTCTCAGGGTCCCTCCCTGTCACCCTGGGTCTTCTGCCCACCCTCTGCCCACCCTGATGCTGTCGGGTATGGGGTCTGTGCCCAGGACGCACGAGAAGCAGCAGGATTTGGGTGGTAGGAGAGGCTGCGTGACTGCACGTTGGAGCAAAATTATAGGAAGAAACCTTGTTCTGGTGAGTGGGATACTTTTTTACAGGAAACAACCTCTTGCTTTCTGCTGCTGAGAGCCTTTTCCCAAAACACCTTTGTGAAGGGGAAGAGGAGCTTGAACACGGCCCTCTGCATCCCAACAGCGAGCACCCAGTGCCTCTGTGGGGCTTCCCTGTGCTCCCCCAGAAATCTCACACTGACCCACGGGGAGGACACTGATGGGGCCATATCTTTCTCAGAAACTCTCTGATCCACTTTTTTTCCTTCCTAATGTGCTCCTGTGTAGGAAGATCCTATTACCACCACCTTCCTGACAGCTAGTGACTTTCCAGCCCCAAGGATATTGGGAAAAGGCTGCTTGGAGAGGTGACGCAGCCCATGTTAGCTTTCTGAGTAGCTTCTCCTGGGGGGAGGAGAAGGTGTGGATGTGCCTGTTCCTTTGCCCAGTCAGAGGAACGGTGATGGAGAGAGGCTGTGCATGGGGGGAGCAGTGGCATAGCCAAGCAGAACGTGGCACTTGCAGCCTCTTGGTGGCTCGAGCAAGTCTGGGGAGGTCTCATGTTGGGATTGCCTTGGTCTCAGTGCTTGCCTTGGTTTCAGTAGACCACGGCTTTGCTGATGGCTAATTGTTTGGATGGAAACATTTTTGTGCCAGGTATATTTCCAAATCTGAACTTTGCTGGAATGTTTAGCTCAAATATTTTGTCATTTTACAAGAACTGGGGTGGAGGAGAGCATTGACTTTGCCCTACTTAAAAACAAGCAAACAAAAAAAAAGTTTTTAAAAGGCCCCTGCCTGTTCCAGAAGAGGAGGGTACTCTTGGAATCCAGAATCAAAGAAAGAAGCGCATTTTATCTTTGTGGAAAATCTCTTGATGTGTATGACCTCAGGTTTTCCAGGCTGGATAGATGTGGTAGCAGATAAATTCCCACGCTGTCTTCAGTGCTGGGTGTGCTCCAGCCCAGTCGATTCCTGAACAGAAATTTTCCTGTGACTCTATCCACAGGCTGCTGCAGGCTGTGTTGGGTCTGGGCACCTTAATTAAATTTAAGTGGACTGTTCTTCCCATGCACCACTTTTAGTGGCTCCTGTTGGCTCCAGTTAAGAAGCTGGAGGTAGCTACCTGACTCACGTGAGGAAGAAAAAAGGACTTAATAGGTCGGAAAATTTTAAGGAGTAAGTTGGGAGAAAATGCTTGCAAAAGTGAAATTTGAATTGGAAAAGAGAAAAGAAAATAGAAACTGGGAAATGGGAGGAGACTTGGAGAAACTGGATGAACAGCTGAGAGGGACTGAAGAGGCTGGAGTGGAGGATGTGTAAACACAGCTCCTTGGGGTGTAGAAGCACAGCTACTCAGGGTCTGCTGGTGCCGGGGAAAATCAGCACTGCCTGGACAAAGCCTAGAATAACTTGCAAAAACTGGGAATTCAGAGCTTCGGGGACCTGCACTTGGTACAAGAAGTACCAATCACTTTGAAATGTTGAACAGTAGAATAAAGCACCAATCCCTTGCAAAATTCAACGCTAGCAATCTTAAATTGTGCATCTGCTATTAAGGCTACTGTGACCTTGATCTTTGCGACTCAGATCAGGAAAATGTAAATGATAATATCCTGACATTCTTGCAGATTGTAGAAATTAATTTAATGGGTATTTGCAGAGCACCTAAACCTTGATGGTTCTGTCTTCAGACCAGGGCAATATGTGATGAATAAGACATAGGGCAGTAGACTGATACTAGTTTTTCATGGTATCCAATTGCTGGTAATCAGGTGAGCACTATTTGTCTTGTGCAATGAATGAAGCAGAGCACTGAGCACTTGTGAGGAGGAAAAGGAGTATCTGTTCATGCAGTAAAGCTGCATCAGAGCAGACAGAGCTTGTTCTGATTACCGTGATTGTCATGTCACATGGAGTTCCCTTCAAAGGTCAGAGACATTTACTAGCTGACATTAAGGCCCATATTCCCATGTTCTTCTGCTATCTGAAATATTAGAGCAATCAGGAAGATGAATCTTCTTGTTCCTCTGTGTGAAAAGGTTCAAAAGTTTATATTACTACCCTGCTGTTTCACTTGATTTCAGCAGTTACCGCAGGTCCTTGGTTGAAATTTTCCTACCTGAAACAGCCTGTTCAAGCCTTGCCACTGATTTACCATCGCCTAGCAATGATTACATTTGTATTGTTTACTAACAA